ATATATGTATATATATTGGCAAGTTCAAAAAGTATATATACTTTTTGAACTTGCCTTATAAACGAATTGAATGATATATAAATTTGATACTAACCGTAACTTGGATATTCTCCTGTCAGTAAATCTGCAATAAAGTGAAGCCAATATGTTAAAAGACTTTTAATTTGTTGATCGAATCTTTTAGAGTTAATTAAGTAAGATTTAAATCAGATAATGTGATTATTTAAGGAATTTTTCAACGGAAAAATTATTAGTAATTAAATACTTTATTTTCTGCTAATAAATTACACTGAAGAGCAAATTTTTGTTATGTTTTCCTTTATCTGAGAATTTTTTAACAGATCTTAGATATCTTTGTTTATTTCAAATAAGCAATCTGTATCTCTCTCCAACCTCATAAAAACTGCTTAGGAAAACGTGCCTGAAACATCATAATATGTCTCTAGAGGCGATTCCCCTTCATGACTTGTTCATAAGCCCACTGCGAAACAGTTCCTAATGATGAAGGCATGAATTCCAATGCAATTTTAATCCTAAAGATATGCCTTTACTTTCCTAAGAGGTTGTCACAATATTTATGTTACCTTTTTACGATACAACGTTTTTAAAATTGTTATTTCGACAAAAATGCCCTTAAAATTTCTTTAAAAAATTGTAGCATTAAGACTAATTTTGAATTTGAAATCCCCACAATCGAATTAGGCTAGATTAAGTATTTATATAATTGCACCAAAATTTTTTTTCCCACTGTGATTAATGAATTGCAAATTTAACTGTACATATTCTATATTTTATTAAACTATCATTACCATTATTGATATATCGTATTTTAAATGATGCAAGAGAAAATTTAAAAGCATTGCAGATTGCATGAAGCATTTTTTTTTATTGTTATAATTAGAATTACACTTTAAACTTACCATCAGTTTCAAATTCCATAAGAATTATTACATTATTAGCACTATATTATAAAAAATTACAATTAAACTTCTAATTTATTTTGATTTAGTTATTCAATTACTTTAGAATATTTTTTTTCGCAGTATCATTTTAAAAAAATACAAAACTTATGACTATTTCGTATTATTTCGTAACGAAAATTTTAAATAAATATATAATTCATGAAATTTAATAGAAATTTTGCTTATTCAACTATATTGTAAAAAATTTCCGATCAAATAACAACAAAAAGTGCGTTTACTTCGGTGTATTATTACAAGCGCAGTTCTAAAATACCGCAGTTTCATTTTTGAAATTTAGAAATTTCGTAATTATTTGTACCAAAGAGGACCAGCTACACAAATGTGAAATTTTAATTTCAAGAAAGCTAAGAAAAATTTACTTGGTATTTTTAGATGAGTAATTTAAAATATTAAGGCGATTTTTAGAAAATTATTTTAAAATAATTTGAGTCTCTTAACACGCAAATTAAAAAGAATAGAAAAAAATAAAGAATAAGGTGTCAAACTAAGTACTTACCACCACTATCATATTCTCCACTAGGATATTCTCCACTAACATATTCTGTAATAAAATACAAGCAATGTTGTACCGTGAATTAAAAAAAAATATTATTCAAATTTATACTTCGTGTCAATTTCACGTTTAGTGCTTGAGAAACTATAATACATACTTAGTGGTATTGTATTTAATAATTTAAAGCATAATTTTATTACGTTTTATTGTTTTGTTGAAAAATCAAAATAAACACAATTATTACGTATTAAAAATATAATATTAAGTATATGATTATGACATATTTAAAATAAAAGAAAAATAAAAGATTTTGAATATGTTTATCTTTCATATTTTTCTACTTGTATTAAAATACAATTATATACATTGTATATATATGTATATATATATATATATATATCTTCTGATAATAGTACACTA